TAGGCTTAAAAGTTAGCTTATAGAGTGTACTTTCAAATGCCGAGTGGCACTTTTCAAAATTTTAAATTGGGGGTTAAATATGGGGGTTAATTTCTCAAAAGTCGATCTAATTTGACTGAAACTTCTTACTCAAAAGTTCTTGAGGTCACTAATTATGAATTTGACAAAATGAAATAAAATTCGGATGAAAATTTGTTATTTGAGGGTTTTTGAAGTCACTGATGATGGATCTGAAGTCAATTTCCAAAAATTTTCAATATTGGTATGAATATGGTGGACTGCTAGAAAAAATTTGAATTATTAAAAAAAAGGTCTCTGTGTTTCACAGGGTTGACACTGTCATCATATACAAAATGATGCCCACATTACATTTTTTTAACTTTTTCAAATTTAAAAAAAAATTTTTTTTTTGTTTTTTATACTAACAGAAATCCATTATAATGAACAAGAAGCTGGTTATGAATTTTCAATTGAATTTAATTTTTAATAAGAAAAGGTGGTACCAGTTTCAGCATTTGAGTACCTTTTAATTAATAAAGTCTTCTTGTTTGAAGGTACGAAAGAATGGCTTTTTTGTATTTGAGGAACTGCTGAAGCAGCATTAAATCTTCTGTTCAATTTTCGTTTGACTTTTTCGTATTGCATTTTGGAATAAAAGAAAACAGATATTGTTTTAAAATGCTTTTTAGCCCAATCGTAAAGCCTCACTGCATCTGTGATAGCTTCTGTAGGTTTTACTAGAAGACTAGCTCTTGCAGCTTCTCTTTTAAAAATGGCACCGATGCCATCGCAAGCATTTTAGCCGTGGGCTGTTGCGTGATAATGCCACTCGGCTTTAATACCAAAGTCTTCTTCATGGTTTACTAGATTAATAATTTGGAATCTGTTTTTAAAATGTTGTTTAGCACCATCACTGAAATAAATTATTTCTTTCACTTCCAAAAGTTTCTTTATTTCCGGAATTAAATGACCTTGAATAGTGTAAACAGCAGAAGTGTCGTGTTGAGTGCTATCGGATAGGAAAACAAAACTTTTGTGTTCTAATTTAGAGTCCTGTTTGAAATAGCATACTACAGTAAAGATGGTACACTGATCGTTATTATAATGAAAAGCCTGCACTGCATCCTGTATCACATACTTATAATTTTCTGAAAAATCCAAAGTTACCAACACTTGATTATCACTAAGATTAGTTTTTCGATGTTCAAAGTATTGAGCTTGGTGCTTTGCAATGAAAGAGTGCGATTTTAAATCTAAGAGTTTGTGACATAACTCTTCAATAAATTCTTCAGAAGCAAGTACGTGTGTGTTCAAAGTGCACCTATCAGTTCCTGTCCATTGACTGAATATCAATTGAAAGATATTATTATCTTCGAAACACTTCACTAAATGGTTTGACAAGTCCTTAGTGCCTGGACAACGTCCACACTCATCAAGGTGACATTCAGAAGTTGCGTCCTTACAAATGATTTGTGACATACAGTCTTTGTAATTTTTCATTGGGATCCCTGAATCCTTACTCAGATTCTCAATGTCAAAGGCATCAAACATTAAATAGCAATTTTGGTGGTGAGTACAAAGACATACGGCATGCGTTCCACGATTTCCCATAAGTACACAGTATTTTGGTCGTAATTGCGCAAATTTGCTAAAACTCACAGAAAACTCTGGATGCGATTTTGTTAATGTTGAATAAAGATCATTCAAATCTAAAAGTAACAGTCTTTTCTGTTTGAGAACTCGCTTACCATCAATTTTGATTGACACAACGTCTTTTACCCCAGGCATTATCCGGCTAATAGAGTCACTCTCATAAAAATCGACAATTTTTGTAACTGTTTCTTTCGATAGTTTTTTTCCAGCTCTTGATATTGGTTCTCCCAAAATTCCTTTAGAAGCTTTCAATTCCTTTGATTTCTTAGCAAATTGTTTCGAGCAAACCAAATTTTTTTTTCAGCTCATCGAGCATCTCTTCGAGTTCCACTTCTCTTTTCGATTTCACTCTCAAATTATCAACATTAACAGACAAGGTAGGAAAGGTGTCCAACGAATTTGTCGCATCGTCGTTTTCATTCTCTTCTAATAAAACACTTTCATTTCTAATCGGGATATTCAAGTTCCTACAATCAAAACAAATTTTCGAACCCACCGGAAGATCAGGAAATTTCAGCATCAAATTTTTTGATAAAAGACGTAGTCCTTTGCCTTTGTGTCCATCTTGAACATAGGGGTTACAACATCGATCAAAGTGTGTATTTTTGGTTAATTTCGACATTTTGCTTTCAAAACTGCAATGCACCGCAAATAATTATTCAAATAAATCCACTCAATGCAAGATATTAAATCTTATTATTTGAAAAAGATTGATTTGTATTTTTTATTTAATCAAAATACACTAATGCCAAGTTTTATTTAACGGAACATTCATCTGTCAATGAAATGCTAATACAATGAAGTTGAGTAAATATGAAACAAAACTAAGTGAATAATCAAATTTTAAAAAAATAATTTCTATTTCTTATTGTTTAACAAAGTTTATGAATTAAAAACCGATCTTCTTCAAATAAGATTTACCATCTTGCTATAAATCATCCAATTTCTGGAATAATTTCACTCAACAGTGAAATTATTCAAGAAATTGAATGATCGTTGTTTATAGTGCAGTGTAGTTTTGTAATGAAAATATCAAAATTCACTAAAAATACACATTTTGATTGATATTGTAACCCCTGAACCCAACATGGACACAAAGGTAATGGGTTACGTTTATTGAGAAAAAAATTAAAACTGGGATTTCCTATACTGTTACGGCGGGTTCGAAAATTTGTAGGAAATTGAAGATCACAATTAAAAACGGAAGTGTTATCAGAAGAAAATAAAAATGACAAGGCGAGAAATTTAATAAACTCGAAACAATTTACTAAAAAATCAAAACAATTAAAATCTTTGGAAGGAATTTTATGAGAACCAAAATCAAGAGATGTTAAAAAAACTAACAGAAAAAACCGTTTCGAAAATTATCGATCTTCATAAAAGTGAATTTATTTGCAGGATAATTTCTGGGGGATAAGACATCATGTCAATTGAAATTAAAGGCAGTCGAATTTTTAAGGAATAGAAAAAAATACAAAATGATGATTTTGTATAAGATGACAGTGTCAACCTTGTGAAACACAGAGACCTTTTTTTTATAATTCAAATTTTTTCAAATAGTCCACCATATTCATACCAATATTGAAAATTTTTGGAAATTGACTTCAGATCCATCATCAGTGACTTCAAAAACCCTCAAATAACAAATTTTCATCCGAATTTTATTTCATTTTGTCAAATTCATAATTAGTGACCTCAAGAACTTTTGAGTAAGAAGTTTCAGTCAAATTAGATCGACTTTTGAGAAATTAACCCCCATATTTAACCCCCAATTTAAAATTTTGAAAAGTGCCACTCGGCAATTGAAAGTACACTCTATAAGCTAACTTTTAAGCCTATGACCACCAATTTACATGCAAACCATTTTTGGAGAGTAGGGGGGTAACGCTGACGAAGAATGCCTCACTGTGTATATATCAAGTAATAATGAAAATATATATATTTTCATTATTACTTGATATATACACAGTCTTCACAAAATTTTCAAACAATCTTCAAGTTTTTACTATATTTCTTCCAATCTGTCAGCAAGGCACAATAATAACATAAACATTGAAAAATTTGACATTTAAAAATATAAAAAATGCCAATACTTAACCCACAAAAATTAATTTTCAAAACAAACAAATGAATGCAGATAATTTGCTAACGGAAAGGAAACTTACGATTATTATAATGTATTTTTTTTAGTGCAAAGGTTCGAATGCTGAATTTAAAAAACATTTGAGTTCCGAAATGTCTCGAAAATTTGACAAGAATTTTGAGGATTTGTCTTTGAGACAAAAGAGAAGACGTATTTCTGCACTGCGAGACTCTATTCATAACGGTAATGATGATAGCTCAAATTCCTCAACTTCAGGGAGATCGTTAATTGAACCTTCTTTGGAAGATGGAGAAATTGCTGAAGTGCCAATTGCAGAAGCTTCTTCCGAAATTTCAGATGATGAGCAAAATTTATTGGACGTTACAGATTTATCTGATGCAGCAACTGCATCCTCTCACGAAGAACGAATTCATCAGGTAGCTGGTGGAGAATATCTACATATAGGTTTTAAAGCCAATTTGTTAAAAAAATTAGAGTCGATTGATGAAAATAAATTAACGGAATATATATTAATAGATTTTAGCACAGATGGTGCTCGGTTAAATAAAGAAAACAGTTGTCAAATTTGGCCTCATCAATTTCGAGTAGTAAATATTGTTGACAAAAGACCGATTGTAGTTGGTGTATTCAAAGGAGGACATAAACCTTCAAATGCTCACGACTTTTATGACCCTTTTATCACGGAAGTCGAAGAAGTGATTGCAAATGGTGGCATCGAAATTAAAGGTCGACGACTTCCTTTACGAATAAGATGTTTTATTGCAGATGCTCCAGCTCGCGCTTTGGACACAACTCATATTTTCCTTGTTCGAAATGTAATGTTGAAGGATTTCATGATGGTCAAATGTTTTATCTTAATATTCGAAACCAACCACGTACAAATGATCAATACAGAAACTGTAGTGATGAAGATCATCATCGTGGTCCAAGTCCCCTATCACGTTTACCAATCGATTTGGTTACCGATGTGCCATTTGAAGTCTTGCATCTAGTCTATCTCGGAAATGTAAAGAAGGTGATTCATGCACATGTAACTGGGACGTTTCCACCATGTGATAAATTAAATGTTCGAAAATTAGAAATTCTTAATTCAAGGATGATTCAGCTCAAAGAATATTGTCCTTCGGAGTTCAATCGTCAACCAAGAGAAATGACGAAATACAATCAATTCAAAGGAACAGAATTACGTCAATTTTTGCTATAATACACTTCTTTGGCTGTTTTCTTGAATATTGTGGATGAAGAATATTATCTCCATTTTATGATTCTGCGTTGCGTGATGCGTTTACTCGCTTCTGAAAATATGCCCGATTTTTTGTACGACTTTTGTCAATCATCTCTTGAAAGTTACGTTCGCTTGTGTAAAGGATTGTACGGAGAAAAATTTTATTCATACAACATTCACGGATTGTTGCATGCTGTGGAAGATGCATCACGTTTTGGTCCTATTGATAGTTTTAGCGCATTTTGCTATGAAAACAATATGCCTTTTTTTAGAAAATACGTACGAAAACCTCATCTTCCACTTCAACAAATTTGTAAACGAATGTTTGAATTAAATGATTTTTCAAGTGTGTCAAATCAAGACGAAGTAGAAATTGTACCGTCAATGAATCATACAAAAGGACCTCTACTTGATAATATTCCACGAAATTGCATACAGTTTGAGAAATGTGTCATTAATAAACGTGTCTTTTCCACACAGACGCGTTATAATTGTTTCATTTCAAGGAATGATAAAATTGGATTAATAAAAAATATAATACTTATCAACGACAGTGTTTCATTTATTGTACAATATTTTGACGGTATTCGACAATTGTATGATGTTGGCATACCTTCACAAGCTGTAGGAGATTTTCATTGCTTTAACTTGTCAAATGAATTACATGAACTACCACTCAATGGAGTAGTCTAAATGCTACCGTATACCTAAATGGGACAGCAGGGAAAGTCTGGAGGAAAACGTAATTCCGAATGAATGGATATGCTCAGTCCTGTTAACATTCCAAGGGGTATAGCTATATAATTTTTTTTAAATATGATTAATAATTCTTTTTCATAATGCGGTGCAAAAAAGGGCACTTTTTTGCACCTTGTTATGAAAAATATCGTTCGTAACTAGTGCTAGCAGTTGCCAATTTTTTGAACGAGCACTTTTTTTGGAACAAACTGTAGGCGAAGCTTCGCAAAAAAAGTGCTCATTCAAAAATTGACAGCTGCTCGCACTCGTTACGAAATATACTATTTTGTGCTTTAAATTATTAAGAAAAAGTACTATTTATTTTTAGTTTGTTATTTTTCACGAGTAATTGATTTAATGATAAAATATTAAAATATTTCTTATGTGTACATGTATAAACATGCCACAAATTACTTCAAAAGTTGTATCCTGTCTGGGCAGATATATTTTTAATAAAATAAAAACACTTCAGTGGGAAACTTAAGTAACTCATGAAAAATAAGCGTATTTTTAGGAATTTTTTTTTTTGGCTCAATGAAATAGGTAATCAAAAATATGTGAAATACGTTTGATTGATATGAGTATTCACATTCAAAATATGTATATATCTTTTTAAAAATTTTATTACAAAATGGCGGTTGTGTATCATTTTTTTAAAAGGCGTCTTTTTTTAAGGGTTCCATGGCCGGACAACTATCGTTCTTAATTTTCGATCTGCAAAAAAAACCAAAATGTTTTCATTTTATATACATCAACAGCTATCGACTTACGTAAGATTTTTTCGATATTTTGGTATTTCGCGAAATGGTACGTGATTGAACAAAAAAGTGCCCATTTGAAAAAGAATCAAAAAATTGTTGATAAAAATAAAAGTAAGTAATATAAAAAAATCCTAGGTGTCGATAGTTGTTGATGTATAGAAAATGACAACATTTTCGTTTTTTAGACCAAAAATTAAAGACGCTGTCCGGCCATAAAATCCTAAAAAAAGACGCTTTACAATAAAATGCTGTATAGCCGCCATTTTTTAATAAAATTTTATAAAAAAAACTTATTTTAGACATCAATACTCATGCAATAAAACGTACTTTACAGATTTTTGATGACGATTTCATTGAGAAAAAAATTCCTAAAAATATGCCTATTTTGTCGTAAATTACATAGGTTTCCCCTCTTAAAAAAAGAGTCTCTTTTCCAGTGAAAAAGGATGGCGCCCAAGATTCAAAAGCAGTTTGAAGGCCACGGAGCCAAACCACAAAAATCATCCAAGCCCTCAAAACATACAAGCTATGCATCAAACGGAAGACTAGTTACTGCTCCGAGAAGATATTGGACTTCATCGGATGAACCGTCTCGAAAAAGGCCAAGAAAATCGCTCAACTCTGTACACAACGAGATACAAGCTTTAAGTAGTGGTTATAAAGATAATCCCAAATTTGCAATATTGTTGAAGTCGAGTGATAAATTGCTTATGGATTCGCATAAGCCAAAGTCTACACCAAAGAGTAATCAATCCTTATCTCAGATAAAGCAAAATCAGCAAAAAACTCGACCAAGCCAAGTGTTAGAACATCCAAAAAAATTGCCTTTACCTAAAAATACTTCTCCGAGCACAGTATCACCATTGCCAGTAGATCCAAAAACTTCAAATGCAAAGATAACGGGAACTATCTCTGAGTCATCAAAAGATAATGGAAATTCACCATTACCTGATTTGCACAATGAAAACGGAGCTCCTAATACAAGCACCAAGAAAAATAAACCAAAGTCGTCTGACCAAAATCAAAATGTCCCGCCTGTTATTGAAATGAACAAGTAAATATTCATTATAACTTATTTTAGGATACTATATTTTTGTTCTTTTTAAATCAATGTATCGTTTATTTGTATTATAGTTTAATTTATTTTATTAATTTTTAGCTTAACCAATTTGTTTAGAAAAATTAACACTTTTTCAAAAAAGAGTATGGTGAAGGTTCAATATTGTTTTAGTTAAAAAAATAATACTGTTTTAAATCGTATAATGAATAAGATACACTTATTATTAAACGCTTTTTTCTTTATTTATAAGATAGATATTTTTTAATTTTAAATCTTTTTGGTTATTACAGAAATCTTCATGCTATGGAACAAAACTCCAATTTTCCTCAAGATAATGTGAACATTAATTCCGGACTTCAAATTCCAGCTTGGGAAAGCAACATTTTAGTTCCCGAAAACGTTCTTCTCGACATTACAACCCGTTTACGGTAAGCCAATTATTAGCTCATCAAATATATATATATATATATATATATATATATATATATATATATATATATATATATATATATATATATATATATATATAATCTAATTATTAATAAGGAGCTTTTTTAAAGAAGATTTAATTAATTGTACAGTATTATAATTTTTTATATGATTATATAGAAATGTTGAAGAGCAGAATTTAGAAATCCTTTCCATCGTTCGTACTCTTAAAGAAGACTCCAAAGTAGTAAAGTCGAATTCGCTTTTTGCACCTCCTCAAGGATATCCCTTAAAAACAATCGAGGAATTTAATTCATTCGAAGATGATGACAATAAAGTGAATGCGTTGGTATGTCTTGTTATTAATTATACTTACTATTTGCACTACATAATTCTTCAGTTTAAAGCAATTAGAAATAAAAACTAATGAGTTATAAATTCAGGGTTGCCACAGGTCAGGAAAGTCAGGGAATAGTCAGGGAAAGTAAAATTGGTCAGGGAAGTCAGGGAAAAGTCAGAAATTTTTACTAAAAGTACTGGAAAAATTAAATTTTTAAAATTCATGAGAAAACTCTGAATTTTTTTTCTTTTTGGCTAGTAAATTATGAAATTACCTCGAATTTTAATACAAAATCTTCAGTTTTTTCTATTTCTGACAATAGTTTCTTTTTAAATAACTTAATTTTTCAAAAACTATCATAAAAATTGGATTTTGGAAAGTTATAAATGATTAAAGAAATTCAATTATTTTCAAAAGTTACAAAAATTCTTCGCAGAATTTCAATTATGATCAAAAATTTTTTAAAAATTCTCGTCAAAATTTCAATTATCTTTATAAATAATAAAATTCCTCATTGAAATTCAATTATTTTCAAAAATTTTAATAAAATTCTTGTCAAAATTCCACAGGAATTCAATTATTCAATATTTATTAAATTTCTTAGAAATAATTTTATTATTTTCACAAGTAGTAAAATTTTCACAGGAATTCAATTATTTAAAATACAAAATTTCATAAAATTTTCGAAAAATATCAATTATTTAAAAAGATTTTTATAAAATTCGTCGCAAGAATTTAATTATTTAAAAAAATGGAACATAGTTCTTTTCAAGAATTCAAGTATTTTTATAAATAATGAAATTCTTCACCGAAGATCAATTATTTTTATAAATTTGAATAAAATTCGTTGTAAAAATTCAATTATATTTATATAAATAATGAAATTCTTCACAGAAATACAGTTATTTTTATAAATTTGAATAAAATTCGTTGGAAGAATTAAATTATTTTCAAAAGTAATAAAATTCTTTACAGAAATCCAATTATGTTCAAAAATTTAAAAAAAAATTCTTGTTAAAATTCCAAGTATCTTTATAAATAATAAAATTCTTCTCTGACATTCAATTATTTTATGAAAATTTTAATAAAATTCTTAGGAAAATTTTAATTATTTTGATAAATAATAAAATTCATCGCAGGATTTTAATTATTTTTTATACAATATTTTAATTAAATTCCTTGATAAATGTAATTATTCTTAAAAAATTTATTAAAATTTGTCAAATGAATTCAATTATTTAAAAATTTATTGATAAAATTCTTTATGAGAATTCAATTTTAACAAACATTTAATTATTCAATAAATTATTTATTTTATAATTTAAATAATTGAATTTTTCTAGAATTTTCTAATAAAAATTGATTTAAAAATGAATTAAAGAATAATCGATTTATTATTATTTATGAAAATAATTGAATTATTGCAACGAATTTTATTACTTTTTTTGAATAATTGAATTTTTTTGTGAAATTGTACTGCTTGTAAAAATAATTGAATTCTTGGGAAGGGTTTATTTTAAGATTTTTGTAAATAATTAACTTATTTTAAAAATTTTTTTGGTAATTTAAATTATTACAAGTTGTTGAATTTCAAAAAGTTTTGAATTTAAATGTTTTGAAGAATTTTAATTCGTACAGAAAAATAATAATGATTAAATATTTATTTAAAAAAGAAGTTATTGATGTTTTTGAAGAATTTTACAATTAAAGAAATTTGTAAATAAATGTAATAGAACATTTTTTTTTAGTGTCTAATAATTTTTAGAGTGAATCAGAATATTCTTTAGGGTCAGGGAGAAAGTGAAAATTTTGTCTGGAAATCAGGGAAAAGTCAGGGAAAAATAAAATTAAATATTTGTGGCGACCTTGATAAAATTCCATGATTTTAAGATAGTAACTTAAAAAAGGTTTTTTATTTTTGTAAAATTTAAACTTTGTTTTCAATTTCAATTTAAGTTTTTTTCAAATTAAACTAGTTTACTTTTTTTTAAACTTTTATGATTTTTCTATTAATATTTTCAAAATTAAAAAAAATGTGTAATGATAATAATTTATGAAAATCGCATTTCTTCTCAAAGTACTCAAAGTTACGGAAATATGGTGGTACGAAGCTAAGAGAAGCACTGAGCTTTGCTTTCAAATCCAGTATGACTGATGAGGTTGCGACCAAATTCACATGGTATGGTGATTCAGGTGATACAAAAAATTTCGGGGAAACTAAAATGGCTTCGCTTTTATATCGTAAGACAAATTAATCTAATAACTAAATATAGTCATTTACTTTAAAACTTTTTTTAACTTTATATTTGATTTTTTTTCAGAGGTGGTAAATAAATGTAAACAGTTTAAGGGTCCGGAAAACTTTACTGAATTTAAGTCAGAAATGACAGAAGTTTTAAGAGCGGCGAAACAGAGATACCGAAACTCCGGCAAAAAGGAAAACCGTACTCCTAAAAATAAAAGTAAAGAACGTGTTCGACCGAAAGAACATAATTTTGAAGATTCGGAAGAAAACGAGGATGGAGAAGATCCTACAACTGATCGAACACAGGACAGCGAGGAAGATGAAACAGATGGTTCTTACGAAGGAGATGATGATGAAGGAGATGATGAAGGAGGTGATTATCTAACAGACGGATCTTACGAAGGAGATCATGATCGATTGCAGAATTTGGTCGAAAAAGGTGAAATAGATTAAGAGAGATTTTTCATTTTTTATATTATTTGAAGGTGCAATTTTTAAAAAGTTGATATATCGATTTAAAAATTGAGATAAGCAGAGATTTTTCTCTATTAATGTTAAATTTAAGAAACAAATTTTTAAAGGATTTTGAATTTCAAAAATATTTTAATCTAACTTCGATGCTTTATAATTTTTATTTTTTTATTGGAAAAAACGACATAAAGATGTGTAAATCCATAAATTATAATAGACTTTAATTACAATTAAAATATCTTAAATACTAAAAGATTTTATTAGAAAGTTGTTAAAAAAATAACTATCATAGTTTGCAGACTAAATGCATATTTAAATTTATTTATTTTTATTGGTTATTAAAATAAGAGTCCAAAAGTTAATCTAAAAAATATATGTAGTTATTAAAAAGTTATTGAAAAAAGATCTATGATAGTTTGCATACTAAATGCATATTTAAATTTATTTATTCTTATTGCATATTAAAATGAGAGTCCAAAAATTAGTCTAAAAGATTATTATTAGGAAGTTATTGAAAAAAGAACTATCATAGTTTGCATAATATGAAAAAAGTTTAAAAGTCTATTTTGTTTTAGTTGATCTTTAGTTTTTTATGTTTTATAATAACTTCCTTATCAATCAAAAGTGAATGGCTACGAAGACTGATGTAGACGTAACAGATATAATTATTTATTTGTTGTATTTAAAATACTAAACTGCTTGTTTTGAAAAATATATTTGTATTCGTTTTTTGCTTATTTAATTATTGTTACTGTAAGAAACGCATTATTACCTAGATTTGTAAACATTACTGTAATAAATTATATTGTTCGTAATAAATTACAATTGACTTACAATAAATGTATACCCATTATTATTATAATATTATTAATGTTTTAAGATAGAATATATCATTAGTATCTTTAAATTTATATTTTGATAAGATTTCATGGCTAGCTAAAGTATTTAAGCCCGAAATTTGGTAGACTTTGCTATAGAAAATTTCTACCACATTAAAAAATTCTGTAAGCAACATTAATACAATTTAGTGAATAATTATTTAAGTGTGCCATAAATATGTAATAAACAAGGTATTAAAGCATCTAAAATGATAAAAAAGCTAAAATTTTGGATTGACATTAAGGTAACACACGTGATATCACGCATGCAATGCATATGCCACGCATATGAGGACGCATATGTTTGCACTGTTGCCCTCACGACATAACACGTCGTGCGCTCATAATGCTGGCATGATGGAATCACATTGCTATCTGGGTAAGGATTGCAAAATATTTACAGTTTTTAAAGAAAAAAATCCTACGCTAAGAAAAACTGTAAGACCTCGGAAACTCCCTTGTAAAAAATAGAAACCTCCTTTGCAATAAATGATTTTTATTCTATTTAAAAATTATTAAACATTTGTAATATATACGTCTTGTAAATAATATTTAAATTTTGCAGGTTGACTTAATCAAAATAAAATTAAACTTTAGTACCATTTAACCCTTGAATAACCCTTGAACGGGAAATTGGGGTGATTAGGCACCCCAAGCAAAGTTCAAAGTATGTTCACGACTTAACTACTGTTATTTTTGTTTCAAGTTTGAGTGATAGATATGTTTTTGGATGTAAATGGTGCATCAATTTTCCTTAATTTTAGTCGCTTTATTTATTTGAAAACTTTAATTTTTCCAAGTAATGCATAAGAGGCATTCCATTTCAAAACGACCCCCTTCATAAACAATTGCCATTGTAAGACAATTTTTAAATAATTATTTCTCCTATTTATTAAAGCCAAACTTTATTCACTAATATTGTTTTTAAAAGAAAAATTTCTCAACTTTACGATAGTAAAAAAATTTTTTTTTAAATAATATTATTTATGAAAAAAATTAAGTTTGAAAGATAACCTTCTGAATATCTCAAAACACGTTGCCTCCGATTTTTTTAAACTTATGTCAAAATGAAGCTTAAATATTCTAGTTTCATTCCCTGTAAATATTATAATGGACAACTCAGGGGAATTTAAGAAATTAATTAAATTTTACAAAGATTTCAGAGGTTAAACTGTGTAAAAATTTGAAAAAACAAATTCCGCTCGGTACATGCATTATAACCTCTGACATCTTTGTAAAATTTAATTAATTTCTTAAATTCCCCTGAATTGTCCATTATAATATTTACAGGGAATGAAACTTGAACATTTAAGCTTTATTTCGATATAAGTTTCAAGAAAATCGGAGGCAACGTGTTTTGAGATATTCAAAAGGTTATCTTTCAAACTTTTCATAAATAATATTATTTAAAAAAAAAAATTTTTTACTATCGTAAAGTTGAGAAATGTTTCTTTTAAAAACAGTATTAGTGAATAAAGTTTGGCTTTAATAAATAGGAGAAATAATTATTTAAAAATTGCCTTACAATGGCAATTGTTTATGAAGGGGGTCGTTTTGAAATGGAATGCCTCATAAGTTAATATTGTACCTACTCTTAAAATGTCTTTATTTACCTTTTAAAATCCGTTTGATATTTTTTTAAATTTTAGCCAGATTGTTGACAAATTGAAATAATTACAAAAAAGGTAACCTTTTACAAATGTTTCAAATCTGGGGTGCCAAACCACCCCAGTTTTACGTTAGTCTATAAAAAAATCATATTTCCGTTCTAGGGTTAGTAAGAACTCGTCCCTTAATTAAAATTCCATTTATTATCGCGCGTCAATGAACAGGCGCGCTATAGCGCTATGCTCGGATTTACGTTTTATTTTTTTTCTCAAAAACTACTGGCTGTCCCACGATGTTAAAACAATTAATTGAAATAATTTTTTTAATTTTATTTTTTTAAACAAAAATATATTTCAATACGAATAGTTTAAAAGTACACTCTCACCTCTACTGCCTGCCTGCCTGCGCAGGCAGGCGCCATAAGAGTGAGAGAGAAAAAACATTTAATTTGAATTTTCTGACTCTCTTACTCTAATGTGTTACCATGTCAACCGGCAGGCAGGCAGGCAGTAGGAGCTGTGCTAGCGCCTTAAGAGGTCACAAACTAAAATCTGTTAAGGAGAACCAAAGATATATAATTTTCAAAAAAAGAGTACAAAAAAATTAAAAATCCAATATGTCCGTCAATTTTTAAAATTTTTCAAAATCGCTTGGGAACTTTACTTATTACCACTAGAGGATATAATCTACCCAATTTCAACCGAATCCAAAAACTTAATAAAATTTTTTGTGTTGAACTGACGTGGAATACTCGACTTGAGTGTGTACTGTTGATCTATTACCACATGATTTAGGGAGCTTTCGACGTTCGCCCTAGGGGCGCTGTGAGTATAAGTCACAGCACTTATCTAGAAAATACCCTAAATCATATGGTAATAGACCAACAGTACACAGTCTGCTGTCAAATTTTATTTATTTACATTTAAACAAAGTTTTATATCTCCTGTTCGTTATCAGCATTTTTACACATTAAATCAATCAGTCTTTTTGATTAAAATGCCAAATCGAGTCGGTGAAAAAGCAGAATTGGCAGAATGCCCCCAATACTGTTTTCACGCGAAAACGTATTGGCAGAAACTCACCGCCAATACTATTCGCTCTCTTCCAATACTTTTTTTTACTGGGTATAAAATATGTTTAATTCAAAAAAATTTTTTGATTGGCTACATATTTTTGGACTGAAAAAAATGTTTCTCAGCGTATAAAAGAAAAATATCGGGGTGGCTTTTTAAAAAAAGGGAGGTTTTTGTAATACTTAATTTAGTGTTATTAAGATCATAAAATTTGCTAAATATTTCTGTCGAAAAATTGTAGGAATTTTTCTATTTTAATTTTTAAGGGGTAGTTTTCGTGGTTAAGGGTGGGTTTTGACAAATTATTTTGGGGATAATTAAACGTCTTAAATCAACCATAATTTTTCCGGAGTGTTTCTAAACTACACATCAAATTAATGTCAGATGAGAGAACCAAAGGTTACATTGTTTAAATTTCCCGCGTTATGTCTTTTAATTACGCTGTTTTAAACTTTTGTTTTGAATCTCTAGCGAATCTGATAAATTTGAAAAAAATCTTCCGCCATTTTGAATTTTTTAAAACTTACCTGGGATTCGATATCAGCGACCCCAAAAACCCCCATGATTATTATATTATTAATTTCAACGTGAAAAATGATTTTTTGCTGCAAAATATGAATTTCTTAGTGTCTTATTTGTTTATAACAATCTTCATTAATTTCAAACAATATTAATTTTTGTATTCCTAGGTATGTCCGCCAACATCTTTGGAAACATAAAATTACAAAATATTAAAAATAAATTATTTCTAACATGATTTATATATTATTTTTAATAATTCTACAGACTGAATCCATTTCAAATCAGGCAGGTCGACTAACTTCAAGTTATAGATTTAGCTGTCGCTAAAATATATTATTGTACATGAAAAATAAAGAGACACGTATTTTTTATTTTTCAAAAAAGATAAATTTAAAGAAGTTACGCACATTTGAACTTTGAGTGGTAAAACTCGAAGAAATAGTGAAAAAAAATTGTTTTGCTAGTCATTTTTTTTATTTTGAGTATAATTTAATTTTCTTTCTTGGGTCTTGTAGATGGTCTTGTCCTCTTCAAAATCCAGTTTGAAATTCGAAAAAATATTTAAAATTTTAAAAATAGGGGATGATTTTCTGAAAATAAATAAGATCAATTTTCTCAAAAACACCACCTTTTTTTCTATCCAAATTTTTACTACAAGTTCTTAAAATAATTATGAACATTTCCTATAAATTTCAAGCGGGCTAAACCATTCTGGCAATCAGAAGAATTTTTTTTTTGAAATATTTATTTTCACAAATTTTCAACGTTCACGTCAACAATGTTATAGCGATTCATTTGTTTTTAAAAATGCAAGTTAACAATTTGAAAATTTGCGAAAATAAATATTTCAAAAAAAAAATTCTCCTGATTGCCAGAATGGTTTAGCTCGCTTGAAATTCATAGGAAATGTTCATAATTATTTTAAGAACTTGTAGTAAAAATTTGGATAGAAAAAAAGGTGGTGTTTTTGAGAAAATTGATCTTATTTATTTTCAGAAAATCATCCCCTATTTTTAAAATTTTAAATATTTTTTCGAATTTCAAACTGGATTTTGAAGAGGACAAGACCATCTACAAGAACCAAGAAAGAAAATTAAATTATACTCAAAATAAAAAAAATGACAAGCAAAACAATTTTTTTTCACTATTTCTTCGAGTTTTACCACTCAAAGTTCAAATGTGCGTAACTTCTTTATTTATCTTTTTTGAAAAATAAAAAAATACGTGTCTCTTTATTTTTCATGTACTATAACATATTTTAGCGACAGCTAAGTCTATAACTTGAAGTTAGTCGACCTGCCTGATTTGAAATGGATTCAGTCTACAAGCTTTTGTTTATTTATTTAATTTTTTAGAAATGACAAAATAAATGCTTTTAAAACATTCTCTTATTTTAATTTCTCCTTTTCAAATAATCAAAAAGTTTGTGTAATTGAAGTAGGGGAAAGGTGTACGAGATGATCCCCTGGGGCAAGATGATCATTTTGAATTTTGGAGAGCCTATTAGCGCCACCTTTTAGGCAAATACGGTAATACGTTGCCAATGACATATCTATGAATCAGTCAAACTGTCATGACAACACGCGTCATTAAAAAAATTCTATTGGAAAAAATAAAATTTCATACTTTTGATCTAAGGTAAGCTTAACTTTGGGCTTAGATAACTTTTGTTGTAGTAGCTGAAATTCCATGTTTCTTGTACTCACGGCTTCAGTATATCTTCAACTA